TTAAAGTGCCCAGCGCTGACCGTGCCCCCTGACAATCCATATCTATCGGGTGGCCCTGACAGCATGGACCTCTCAACATGCGGGCCCCGGCGGTTTTCTGCACGGTCCGGGGCTGCAAAATGTAGCAGCTGTTACTCGGTCGCTGGGGTCCGCAGGGCGGCGGTATGTACGCCGCTGCACTTGGTGCTGCCGGGCAGGGGAGAGGCTGATTGGCAAAGAGTGGTCAGCTGACTCTCTCAGCCAATCAGTGACTCCCAATTTACAAAACTGGTTTGCAAAGAAACTTTCCTTTTGCAAGCCAATTTAGTTGGGAGGTATGTTAACCCTCACCACTTGCTGAGCAGGTTCTATAAAGTTTGTGTTGGTTCCATTAGCTACTTGTAAATGCGTGCGTGGGCAATGACAATACAGTCTTCTTGTGGAATTTTTTTCTATATGTTTATTGTAATCAAAGGTTTAAAAAGAAAAAGTGTCAACTGAAATTGGACATTTTGTCACCAGACTTCAATGTATAAAAAGCAGTACATTCGTAGGAGCAGCATTACATAAAACTATAGAACATATATTGGAGCTAAGCTAATTATTATATATTATAAACATGTTAAAAAATTATCAGAACATTCTTACACTATCACACAATACTGTAATACTTTAAGACATCTGTCATCTACTGTCATTTCCAGTAAGCCCCATCCTATAATTTTGCAATATTACAAAATTTAAAGCTTATTGTATTGATTTAAAGTGACATAAAAAAGCAATTTTGCTGCATGACACATGGTACATAGAGGAAGGCAAATTCACAGCTCTGTGGCTCAGATTGCAAATAGAATTATCACTATCATGTAATGACCAGAGGGGGAAAACTGTCATATAGCAAATAAAAATATTCAACTTGGTTACATTAATTTGTATTGGCACTGGACAGATCAATAAAACACATTTCATATGCAAACCATACTGAAAAAGATAAAAAAAAAATCCAATTAAACAGCTATACTTTGTGATAAGTAGTCATGAGAGGGAATCTGAGCTGAAAAATTTTAAGAAGTTCTCAAGATGTGAAAACCATTTCATATAACTAAATTGGTTTACGGCCATGAAAACAAAATATCAAAATGTTTTTTAAACAGTGAATTATGATCTTTGTTTTGTGATCATTTTAACAACATCAAATATACATTTCATTACTTCAATGTTTTTAAGTATCTCCACCTTTTGTTTTGAAGCATGTGGTTTATTTTGTTAAAAAAAGACCCACTTTAAGCTCTCTTTATGCAGTCAATATATTAATTATATATAGTGATAAAATATATTTTTTACCATGCACCTCAACTTTCCTGAGTTCGGAGGTACTGTCCCAAATTTGGACTCAGGTCCCTCTGTTCCGCATTTGTTTCCTAATGCCCCGTATTCAGCAACACCAGGGAACAAACACCAGCTGCAACAGTGCAAGCACATACAGCTCTCTCTCTAAATGGTCTACCTGTTACCACTCTGCTGAGTGGAGCAAGTCAGGCAAGCTTGAGACATATTTGCTGCAGGCATTGGCGTACACACGATCCATGGGGCCCTGGTGCGAAAATTTATCCGTGGGACCCCCTTGCCCCCCCAAGCACTTACTCTGCGTGGGCCGGGACCGCAACACATGGTGGCAGGCACCTGGTGGCGGGCACCTGGTCACAGGGGTCGCAGGGCTGCAACCCCTGCGACCGCAGTATGTACGCCAGTGCATGCAGATACACATACACTCAAAGGACTACTATAGGCACTCGGATCACTTCAGCTCAATGAAGTGGTTTGGGTGCCAGGTCCCTCTAGTTTTAACCCTGCAGCTGAAAACATAGCAGTTTCAGCGCATTTAGAGCTGAGAGGAGGATCGTGTCAGAGAGATCCCCAGCACCAAGGGAGCCCGGCGCTGAAGAAAGGTAAGTGCTGAAGGGGTTTTAACCACACACTCTCACGAACAGACGCATACACACTAGCTAACAGACACACACATTTACTGACAGACACACACTCAGTGACAGACATACATACACACTCACTGACAGACAGACACACACACACACACTCACTTACAAAACATACACTCTCACTGATAAACACACACTCACTGACACCAAACAGACTCACTAACAGACACACACAAACTAACACACTCAGTAAGATACACACAGTAACACACTCACTGACACACACACACAAACTAACACACACACACTGACACTCACTAGCATACACACACTCATTAACAGACACACACAAACTGACACACAACTAACACAGACACACACACACACTAACACACTTTTTTTTTTTATTTAATCCCCCAGCCTTCCTACCTTTGGGAGTGCTGAGAGGATTCCATCTTTCCTTGGGGTCCAGTGGGGCTGCTGGGCGGCCGGTCATTGCGGATGCGCGAGGGAGAATTCTCCCCTGAGCGCTCTCTGCCCAGCTCCCTCGCGTCGCCACTTCCTGATGCCGGAGCCGGAATTACGTCATATTCCGGCTTCGGCTTCACTGCGGTGCTCGCGAGGGAGCTGGGCAGAGAGCGCTCCGCAGAGAATGCTCCCTTGCGTGCCCACAATGAAACGCCACTGCCAGCCTTGGGGGGCCCTTAGGTGGCTAGCTCCTGGGCCCCCCAGGAGAAGAGACTGGCAAACTGGTGTACATACCGGGTCGCAGGGCAGCCTGGTGGGCCGAGCCTGGTCGCACCTGCGACCCCTGTGACCGCGGTATGTACGGCAGTGGCTACAGGGATATCACAGCAACTACAGCGAGTGACAAAGAGCATGAAAAATGTCTGTTCTCCCCTGCCACTTAGTCCTTGGCATTGAAATCTAGGGAGAGGGACCATAAAGTTGAATACATGTATGAGAAACTCTAAGTATTTGATAGAAGTTCTGCCACAATGTATAAATGAAATTGAATATATTTTAATTTTTTTTAAAGTTATATGTACCATGACAGGTACAATTTAATATTTAGCTTGCCCCTATATGAAAGAATGTAGAGTGGACACTAAAAGTACACTAAATTATAATTTCATCTATGATACTGCATCCTTGGCTGATGATCCATCGCTACTTTAAAAATCTGCTGAGTGTTTCTTAATGATATTGTTTGTTCCAGGGAGGAAAATAAAATAATTTGCTGCGTGCAGTGTCTTTTCTTCCAGTGAGAGCCCAAAGATATATTACATAAGAAAAACTAAAGTAAAGAGTTATTTATTTTCTTTTTATGACCTCCTGCTTTTAAGTTTTCATTTTTGCAATTCTGTTTTCAATCCAATATGAGGCCTTTAATATTTTTATTGCATTTACATGTAACATATACCGTATTTTTCCAGGTATAAGACTATGTTTTTTTTCAAAATCTTTTTAGTCTAAACTTGGAGGGTCGTCTTATACACGGAATGTCACTGCAAGGGTTCAAAAAACACTTTGTGCGCTGGGTCTAAGCCAAGATGACACCAAGGAGGAAGAGGTCCCAATATGCTTGGGAGCTGCAACACTTACCACCAATGGAGCTCAAGAGACATGCCACACTATAAAAGGAGCATTAAGGTATGATCCACCTCAGGTAGGTCTTGATTTCTGATTTATATTTATAGGGGAGGAAGTGTGGAGCAGAGAGCAGAGGGAATACACCTGTGATGTCCTAGTATGCCCTCATACCACCTGCTGTATTGTGGGAGCTGTAGTTTCCCAGCATGCACCATGGAGTCATTAACTTCACAGAGTACCCTAGCACAGGGGAGGCATGAGACTCATAAATCACCTTTAAAATATCAAAGTTGTTACCAACCCGATGACCCCTGAGCCCAAATGTGTTAATCTTTGCATCTGACATAACCTACAAACAAGCATCTGCTTGCTCATGGTTCTACACAGTGGTTTATGTCTCACCTGATACTCTCCTACCTGTGTAGGTATAAAGGCTTTTATACCAAGGGTTCCTTAATGTACGGATCGCAGCCAACTGACCTTGTTGTAGTGTAATCTCGACCACTAGACACACATAAGGTGACCATGAGAAGCTAAACGTAAACAGCATGCACTCCACCTCAAATGCTTAAACATTTCACTGACCACTCACAATTCCGTACTAACGTATTGATCTACCAGATGTCGGCCACAACTTCAAGGCATGCTATTACTAACCCGTGTTGACCCTGTAATAGGCTAGACATCATACCATTACACTACTACCTCCGCTCGCTCTTCATCTGGCATACCCAATGATACCCTACCCGCAGCTGCGCTAGCACTCTACCTTAATGCCTCACCCTCAGGGACACACCTAGACACCTTCAGTCACCACTGGTTCTGGGATCGAATGTTAAACCTTGTTTTGAAATGTACCACTTTAACCAGACATTTAATGTGCAACCACTTAGATCTTGAACCATTAAATGCTTATGTAGTACCTATGTGCTAACCCAACATGCCATAATACTGTTTTGCTATGACCAGAAAACTTGAGCCTGCTGATGCTGCTGTGGAAATACAGGTACTGTTGTACTCACCTGCATGTCAAAAATAAAGAATTACAAAAAATATATATCAATGTTGTCATATTTGATGTTTAAAATATTTATTTCTTAATTTTGGGCTAAAAAAAATAAGGGTCATGGAGGCATCTTATACACAGAAAAAAATGATAATTAAATCAAATAATTGATATAGTAATAAACAGCATCTGTTTAGTTATTTGCAATATTGCTTTTTCTGAGATACCCCTATAAACCAATCAGCCGAACCAGTATGGAGTAATTTTGCATTTCTTTTCCTTTTGAGAGATAAAAAAAATTGTCTTTGTTCAATATTAAGTAAATGTACACAAATATCACACTAAGCCATTGGCAAGTAGTAAAATAAAACATTTCCAATCTAAGTTTGCATGCACCATATGGATTTAGTAAATTATACCGAAGGACTAATTTTATTTTGTATATTTTAAGAAAAGAAATTGATTAATTCCTTATTCCTTTCAATGCACTACATAATAACCTGGTTTTAACCAGATCACGGAACATGTGTTTGGGTGATTTGATTTCCAGAAGACCAAGGTAGGTCCCAGTAGACTGGAAAGCAAAGGCCTTGCATAATTCCTGCAAGTACAGGCCCAAAAACAGTTCAGGAGTCAGTCACACCATCCTGGATTTGTTCCTTGATGTCCTGCTTTTTGGAATGCCAGGGGACTATCTCCAAAAAAAACATAGTCCAGGTGCTTCGTTCAACACGCTCACACTAAAGACACTGGGACCATATAGAGAACACATATGCGGTGCCACCAGCATGGTCTGTATTCAGTGGAAGAAAAGAAATATCCAGGCACACCTGAGGTTTCTTTAAAAAGGCAGCCTTTTTTATTTGAAACGAGGAAGTGGAGACAACGTCTTGATAAAGGCTCAGAGAGGAGCCAAAAGATTGTCTCCACTTCCTTGTTTCAAATAAAAAGAGACAGCCTTTTAGAAGAAACTTCAGGTGTGCCTAGATATTTCATTTCTTCCATTTGATGTCTTTAGGGATTGACCCTTCCTTTCTGGAGCACCCTGTAGGAAGTATTCCACCTTTTTTAGGGTGTGCATTACACTCTTGTTTTTTTTTTTTGCAAACAACTGCACTCACTGGGCAGGCCTGAGTGATTGTCAGGTAGTCTAGTGTGTAGCCTTTGGTCAACACCAGGAATGAGATTCACATCACTATCTGACTCCCTTTTGGCCCACTTACTGGCAAGTTATGAATCAGGCAATGAAGGCCCACAATTGCTTTCTCACTCTTGTATTACTTTTCCAACAGACATCCCAGCATAATGTCAGTTGATTTAAGTCAGAAAAAAAGAATAGCTGATGTGAAACTGTGGCCTGTGTGCTATTGGTCTGCTGTGCAATGGCTACCCTGCCTCCTTTACTGCCATTCTCTCCTAGGGAGCTGATTCTCATCAGTTCACAACCTTGACTGATGGAAAATCAATTAAATGTGTAGACTTCAAGTGTTTAGGAAAGGAACTGTAATGGCACAATGCTCTTCTGAAAACTAGAATGGCTTAGTTAATATCACACAATATATTTTAACCTAAACTTAAAAACAATAAAGTCTCAATATGGCATTGTTAGAGTTGCTTCATGATATTGATTTCAGTCGGTTTATTAGTGTTTAGCTTAATTAAACTTTAAGGAGCATTTTAGTCCGCCCAAACTTCTTAATGGACACATCTGTGACAGACCACCCAGTCAGTGGAATATTTTATTATTTTTTATTCCTTGTTTTGTTCGGTTAAAAATATTTTTTCCCTGTTTTGTTCAGTAACCCAACAAAACCACGAAATACCCAGACCACGGGTATGCTTATTAACCTCATTCACCCCTGTTAACACTTCAATCATGATTCAGACCTCAGTGTTCTAAATGGTCGGCTGGGTGGCCACCGTTCGTATGGACAAACATGTGGGGGTGGCCATCTTGTTTGTTTGAACGCAGGCAGTGGTGTTTGGTCCTCAAGTGCATGGAACTAAAATCAGACACTCGCAAACACTGCTGAACTTCCATTCCCGCCTGCGTTCGTTTCTATACCTCCTAGAATAACACTGTTTGGTGGAATCATCCTCACGAATGAGGTGCATACCATCTGCATAGCGGCTCAAGCATATGTTCAGTATTTTCTGTGTTTTTGTACTTCCGAAAGAAACCGTCCGCTACCGCTGATTCTATGGAACTGTTTTGGGCAGGAGCCTCATGTGCGGTTGGTCAAAACTTTACCCCAGTGGCGTTTTGGCTATATTCATGGGACCTGAGCACTTTACGGATATGTGGTGCACTCAGATCCAGGCTATCTGGCGATATAAGACTTTAGGGGGCACATGGTTGTTTTATGTATGTTTTGGGGTGTCATAAAATTTTTAGATTTTTCTGTACCTGAGAGATAATTTAATTATATGTTTTTTGCCCCGATAATTATCTCTCAGGCACAGGGGATCATCGGAAGGATAACCCTGTAATATTGTATTGGAAACCCCATGTAGAGGCTTTTGCATAAAAGGCCGTGTGTGGCCCCGAATAAAACCGTTCACTCCCAGCATTCAGTCTCGACTAATGTCTGTGGAGGAAAGCTATACCTGCTTTGGATTATTACTACTTGGGGAATCTTACTCTTTATTGCTACTATACTTGGAATTGTTGCAGCAGAGTTCTAGAAGGAGGGAAAAAGACATCCTTGGCAGTGAAACCCATGTTCCTATCCGGGTGGCTGCCACAACATCTAAATGCACACTATTTCAAAACTAATGACTTAACACATAATTAATAAATTAATAAACATATAAGTCAGGCACAGCTTGACTAAGAACAGCTTTCTAAGTTAAGAAATAAAAATAAGACATATATCTACACACAAACATATACTACTAAAATTAGTTACTACCAATATTAACAGATGAACTGAACAAAAAGAGCCTTAAATCAACACTTAAATTGAAAAATGTAATTTAAAAGTGAAAGGCCTTGATTTAATAAGCATTTCAAATGATTTAATACTGTTAGAACAAGTTTCCAATATTTTTATGTACAAAAAATATACTTTAATTGTTACATCTGTAGATAAATCAGTTTGAAAGATTTTCTAACAGTATTCAATCACTTGGAAGAGGCCTAAAATAGCATAACTGGAGAAAGTCTTAATAGTCACAGCTTAACTATGTTAGCCTGAATGTTGAAATCAGATTGGGTTTTTTTAACTTTTTTTTTTAAATTTGCAAGGAAACCAATAAATAAAGCCCAAAGTATTTTGGTAAGCTAGACTGCAAACACTATGAAAAAGGCAAAGCTAAATAATGCATTTTTAACAGAGATTATCTAACATAACAAAAAAAAAAAAGACACGCCACCTTATCCTCTATTTATATTCACAGGATATTTATGGAGGAAACATTTGTTCCACTATGCAGTATGAAAAGCAAAATAAATTATAAAAATAAGGGCTGTTTTGCTGATGTGTTTGGTTTGACAAAAACTTGTTAGTAAAATTCCATTAGCAGAGGGAAAAATATTCTTATTTAATGTTAATGTAAAAATAATATAGCCATTCGGTAACTTACTGATAGTCACTGTCCAAGCAATTCTTATATGTGTTATATAAACAGTTATTTAATTCGATCAGTGATGGCGAACCTTTTCGAGCCCTAGTGCCCAAACTGCAATACATGCCAACTTTTTTTTCCCTCAAAGTGCCAACACGGCAATTAAACCTGATTACTGAGGTTTAAGTTTAGAAAAAACAACTCATACAGTTGTCCAAACTAATTAAAAACTTTTGTTTTAAAAGAAGAACACAACAGAGTTCAATTATACAAATGTTAAACATTTTTATAAATAGATAAAATTAAGCTTATATTTATTATAAGCAATACATACACACACAGACTGCTGAAAACATTCACACACCGACTGCTGAATACATACATACACTGCTGAATACACACACTGCTGAATACACATACAGACAGACTGCTGAATACACACACACACACACACACAGACTGCTGTTTGTGGGGGGTAAGGATACAGTGTGTGGGGGCATAGGGGTGCTGTGTGTGGGGGGGTAGGGGTACTGTGTGGGGGGAGTAGGGTTACTGTGTGGGGGTTAGTGGTGCTGTGTGTGGGGGGTAGGGGTGCTGTGTGTGGGAGGGGTGCTGTGTGTGGGAGGGGATGTAGGGGTGATGTGTGTGGGAGGGGTAGGGGCGGTAAAGATACATTTAATAAAAAATAAAAAAAAGATATATTAAATCTGTAGCCCCCCCCCACCTCCCTTCTTCTTACCTTTGGTGAAGGAGGGGGTTACACAGCCATCACTGGTGGTCCAGTGGTAAGTACTGTATGTCTAGGAAGCAGCTCTCGAGTCCTGTCACGCGATGCTGTGTGGAGGGTTGCCATGGTAACGGGTGGCAACTCTCCACACAAATTGCTCGCGGGAGGACAGGAGATCCCTTCCCCCTGCCTCCGGACACGGAAGCAGAGTAGGTGCCTGGCATTTCGGGCAGGTAGGTGCCTACTCTGCATTGATGCAGACAGCCAGCGGCCACCTTCCCCGGCGACCTATGGCCGCGTGCCCACAGAGAGGTCCCGGCGTGCCATAGGTTCGCCATCACTGAGTTAGATAATAGTTAAATACCTGGATTCTTTTGAGGAATACAATATGTCTTTTTAAATTGCTAAGAAATATCAAATGTTGAATCTGTAAAGGAGCAATGTATTTTAAAGGAACATTCCAAATACCATAACCACTACCGTGCACCCCCAATGCAAGTATTCAAGCCATTTGCTAATGATTTGACATAAGAAAATTAGTGAAGGCTGCCAGTCACCTATAAGAGTTGAAAGTTCTCTGCATTGAGTTAAGCCCAGCTTGCAGGGTTTAACTTTTTATTTATAGTAATAGTAGTAAATATATTTGTAATTTAGGAAATATCTTGTAAGACACAATGTAGACACCATGTAGACACCGTGTAGACACCATGTGCCTTTTTTCAGCAAACTTTGATAGTTAGAAATGAGTGATATAAGAAGTATACAGGTGATGCAATTTTAAATTGTATAATCAGCAAAACTTGACTTATAGTCCTTAGGTTAGCTGTCTTGGTTCTATCTTGTAGACATTTTTCTCTGATTTCTGAGTATTTGGCTAAATTTCCGGATTCCTAGTTGCTCGTCTAACTTGGATATGATCTGCATTAACTATCAACAAACCAGAGCTGCCTGTCCGTTGACCAATGTGTTCCTGATCTTGAACTATTTTCCATTCTGCATTTTATCTAAAATTTCCCCACTGAACTCTAGTTATACCTTTGGAATGGAGTGACTGGTTATTAACCCCTTAAGGACATAGCCAATTGTACAAGTTGTGATCAAAACAAAACGTAAACAAAACCTGGAATTTCCGCTATATGTCTGTTCAACCAAAATCCACCTCTTTCATATTAAGTGCACCCACACTTATATATCATTTTGTTCAGGAGAAACATGGCTTTTTGAAACATAACTGAATGTGAATAAAATCTAAAAATGTATGAGAAATTAAGAAAACTTGCTATTTTTCAAGTTCTGCATGACATTTTAACTGTGAACGACATAATACTGTTAGATTTTACTGCAATAAAATACAGATATTTGTATTCAGCAATGTCTCACGAGTACCACAGTACCTCCCCTTCTCCCCCCACCCATGTACAGGTTTTATGAGTTTTTGGAAACTTACAGGGGTCAAATATAGGGCTTTCCCCTTTTCCATTGAAATTTGCCAGATTGGTTTGCTGTTGCCTTTGAGACCGTATGGTAGCACAGGAATGAAAATTAACACCATCTTTGCATTCTATTTGTAAAGGTAGACAACCCAGGGTATTCAAAATGGGATATGTCTTGTCTTTTTTAGTAGCCACTTAGTCACAAACCCTGGCCAAAGTTAGAGTTTACATATATTTTTTTGCATTTTTACAAATAAACTGCCCTTTCACTGATGATATCATCAGTATAATACATTTTATTGCTCTAAAACACTCATATTTGTGTAGAGTAATGTCTCACGAGTACAACAGTACCCCTCATGTACAGGTTTAATGGCGTTTTGGAAAGTTACAGGGTCAAATATAAGATTTTCCAATGTCTGTTTGAGCAAATTGAAATTTGCCAGATTGGCTATGTTGCCTTTGAGATGGTATGGCAGCCCAGAAATGAAAATCAACCCCACCATGGCATACCATTTGAAAACGTAAACAACCCAGGGTATTCAAAATGGGGTATGTCCAGTGTTTTTTAGCAGCCACTTAGTCAAAAACGCTAGTCAAAGTTAGCGTTCATATTTATTTTTTGCATTTTTTTACACAAAAACTGCACTTTAACTGGTGATATAATCGTCGTGATATGTTTTACTGTTTTATAACACACATATTTGTGTTCAGTGAAGTCTCCCAAGTACAATGATACTCCCCATGTCCAGGTTTTATGTTGTTTTGGATAGTTACAGGGATAAACATAGGATTTGCAAATTAAATTCTCTGGACTTGCTGCCTGGGTTTTCAGGCTGGTCCCTCAAATTACAATTAATAAAATGACTTCATTATGTTAAAAGATTACATAAATATACATGTAGAATTTAAATATATATACATATATATGTATTTAATTCCTACGTGTATATTTATGCAATTATTTATGTAATTATATCTATTTATTTATATATATATATATTTTGTAAAATATTTTTTCATATATATATATATATATATATATATATATATATAAAAATCATTCTATGTGCATTTTGATAACAATATATATATATATATATATTAATATCAACATATTTTTAGAATGAAATTTCATATATATAATTTTTTTATTATTTAATTTATTTATGTAAAGGACTACTATAGTGCCAGGAAAACATACTGTATACTATACTACTATACTATACTACTATAGTCCCCTCCCGCCGGGCTGGATGGAGAGGAAAGGGTTAAATCTTACCTTTTTTCCAGCACCGGGCAGGGAGATCTCCTCCTTCTCTCCTCCCTCTTCTCCTCCTCTTCGGCTGAATGCGCATGCGCGGCAGGAGCTGCGCGCGCATTCAGCCAGTCCATAGGAAAGCATTTAAAATGCTTTCCTATGGACGCAGGCGTCTTCTCACTGTGAAAATCACAGTGAGAAGCACTCAAGCGCCTCTAGTGGCTGTCAAGAGACAGCCACTGGCGGCTGGATTAACCCTATTATAAACATAGCAGTTTCTCTGAAACTGCTATGTTTATAAAAAAAAGGGTTAACCCAAGCTGGACCTGGCGCCCAGACCACTTCATTAAGCTGAAGTGGTCTGGGTGCCTATAGTGGTCCTTTAATGTATTTACTGATATTGATATATATAACAATCAATATGAAAATAAATTTATCAAGGATTATATATATATATATATATATGTATTTATACCACTGATTGCTTGACTAACATTTACTTTAGCTTATTTCACCAGCAAGGGGAATGCCTGTCAGTTTAGGCCAGTGATGGCGAACCTTTTTGAGCCCGAGTGCCCAAACCGTAATACATACCAATTTTTTTTCCCTCAAAGTGCCAAAACGGCAATTAAACCTGAATACTGAGGTTTAAGTTTAGAAAAAACAACTCATACAGTTGTCCGAACTAATTAACATCTCTGTGTGTGTATTAAGCAGTTTGTGTGTGTGCTCGGCAGTCTGTCTGTGTGTATTTAGCAGTCTGTCTGTGTGTATTTTGCAGACTGCTGAATACACACACAGACTGCTAAATACACACACACACACACACTGCTAAATACACACACACACACACACACACACACAGACTGCTGAGTACACACACACACACAGACTCCTAAATACACACACACTGCTGAGTACACACACAGACTGCTGAGTGTGTGCACACACACACAGACTGCTGAGTGTACACACACACACACAGCCTGCTGAGTGCACACACACACACACACACAGCCTGCTGAGTGTACACACACACACAGACTGCTGAGTGTACACACACACAGACTGCTGAGTGTACACACACACACAGACTGCTGAGTGTACACACACACAGACTGCTGAGTGTACACACACACACACACACACACAGACTGCTGAGTGTACACACACACAGACTGCTGAGTGTACACACACTGCATTGAGGGGTACAGTGTATGTGTTTGTGTGTGTGTGGGGTGATGTGTTTGTGTGGGGTGATGTGTGTGTGGGGTGATGTGTGTGTGGGGTGATGTGGGGTGGTGTGTGTGTGTGTGGGTGGGGTGATATGTGGGTGGGTTGATGTGTGTGGGGTGGTGTGTGTGTGTGTGTGTGTGGGGGGGTGATATGGGGTGGTGTGTGTGTGGGGGGTGGTGTGTGTGTGTGGGGGGTGATGTGTGTGTGTTTGTGTGGGGTGATGTGTGTGTGTCTTTGTGTGGGGTGATGTGTGTGTGTCTTTGTGTGGGATGATATGTGTAGGGCAGGGGTACTGTGTGTATGTCGTCCCCCTCCTCCCCCCCACACTGTTTTCTTTCCCCCCCATCCCTCCCTCATTTTTTTCTCCCATCCCACACTCAGTTTTCTCCCCCCATCTCTCCCTCAGTTCCCCCCATCTCTCCCTCAGTTCCCCCCCCAGTTTTTTCCCTCCCCCACCTCCCTCAGTTCCCCCCCCATACCTCCCTTAGTTTTCACCCCACCCCCACCTTGATCTCCTACTTGTGTAGCATCTAGGCAGGTTTCTGAAGGCATAATCAAGGGGGAATAACCAAAGGATTAACCAAGAGAATTTATTCTCCCCTACCACGGTTATTCAGGGGCAGATTAGGACACACTACAACAACTCTAACTGGACAATTAGGAGGGAGAAATCAGGTGTCACAAACACAAGGCCTTACTGTATGTCAACCTATTCACCTCTTGCAGCAAATGGTGAGAAAACTATCCTCCAAACTTTACACCAAACATGGCTCGCTGTACAAAAATAATGTTTGCTTACATATTTGAATTGTTCAGCAAATGTTAATGAAAGTAATAGACTCTTGGAATGTAATACATACATATAATCAGCACCTAACCTCACTAAACTCAGCACTCTTTATAATTCATTATGCCACTATGCACTCCAATGTAACTACAGTGCCCAGCATTGTGATATGTTGAAGCAACTAAGCTCACTAACTCTGAAATTTCAGACATACCCTTTATGTGATGGACTCTCCTATGCCATGGACTTTTGGAGAGGCTTAAAAGTCAACCTCGTGCCCACAGATATTGGCCTGATCCCAAAAGACACTGAAATGGGCTACTGTCACTGTGGAGAAGATATGGGAGCCCTGGATGCTTACTGTACTTCCCAGCCAGACCTTAGGACCTCTGTTGATCAAATACAAAAAAATAAGAAAACAGATTGTGCCAAATGATAATATGGATACAATTCAACAATATTGGATAGCAGCCACCTAAAAAAGTATTTGTAATTGGTATATACTTATAGTCCCAGAATTATTCTTTGAGGTATGGAGTGCTCTTAGTACAGACGATAATTCAACAGGCGGTCTAGTATTTTCTCCAACTCGTATGGTTTCTGTGGTAGGAAATGGCAAAAAATAAATAAAAATAGTGTAGTATTGTATAAATAAGGGATAAAATTAAGAGGATTGAAAATACACTAACGAAAGAAGAGCTATCTACTTGCTCTCTTATATCAGCTTATGACAATACAATCCTTGTCAGGTTTATGTGGCTGATGGTCAATCAGGTCCCTTTCGAAAGTAGAGATGGTCTGTTAGTGACAACTTTGGACGTCTCATGTAAAATATAGATATAGAAACAAACATCAGTAGTGTAATCCAATACACGTTTCAAAAGTTTGGGATCTTTTATTGGCTTACACTACTGGCTTTTTTTTTATCTGTACACCAAAATTGTTTCATTAAGCTAAAGTTGTTTTGGTGACTATAGTGTCTTTTTAAAGTCTATAGAGATGTTTCTATACATTAATTTTTATAAACATTAATTGAAAAGCTTTCCTAACAGATTGTGATAATTTTGATAGTTTATCCAAAATAAATAAATTGACTTTGGCCTCTAGTCAATATTATTGGCAAAATCCAGTCAAACATTATCGACTGGATTCGTCCAATATTTTTTAAAGAATATCGACAGGATTTAATGCCAGCTGAAATTCTACCATGCTACAAGTGGGGTATGTTCTCTAAACTGGCTTCTCTCCATAAAAAGACTATCAACTGGGCAGTGAGACTGCAGAGGCGTGATACGCTAAAGTTGTTTTGGTGACTATGCTGTCCCTTTAATGTATTTATTAATGTGTGGCATTATTCAACCTAACAAAAGAGGTCATAGAGAGAAAATATGTGGAGCACAGAACAACAGATGAGGAGTTTAGCAAGACAGATGAGACACTTTAGAGATCAGAAAAGATAACCAGAATGACAGCAAAGACATGGGGAACATCAAGTAAACAAAGCAGGACATTCAAAGAGCAACGTAGACCAGAGAAGGATATTATAAACCAAATAGATATTATCCAAAGTGATGGTCCTCATATATATACTCCTTAATATACTCCTTAACCAACATTCTCCTCACCCTAAACTTCATAAACCTAATTTGTAAATCTGGAAAATTGAAGATGATTAAAGGTGCCTAATATATAAAGAAAAGTTCAAAGTTATAAAATGTTTTGTAAATGAGAGAGATTCTAATATAATTAATTCTTAATATAATACGTTATTATTATTGCCATTTATATAGCACCAACAGATTCCGTAGCGCTTTACATAGAAACATAGAATGTGATGGCAGATAAGAACTATTCGGCCCATCTAGTCTACCCAATGTTTCAAAATACTTTTAATTAGTCCCTGGCCTTATCTAAAGTCTAGGATAGCCTTATGCCTATCCCACACATGCTTAAACGCCCTCACTGTGTTAACCTTTACCACTTCAGGTGGAAGGCTATTCCATGCATCCACTACCCTCTCAGTAAAGTAATACTTCCTGATATTATTTTTAAACCTTTGTCCCTCTAATTTAAGACTATGTCCTTTTGTTGTGGTAGTTCTCCTTATTTTAAATATAGTCTCCTCCTTTACTGTGTTGATTCCCTTTATGTATTTAAATGTTTCTATCATTTCCCCTTGTCTCATCTTTCCTCCAAGCTATACATGTTAACGTTTCCTGGTAAGTTTTATCCTGCAATCCATGAACCAGTTTAGTAGCCCTTGTCTGAACTCTCTCTAAAGTATCAATATACTTCTGAAGATACGGTCTCCAGTACTGCGTACAATACTCCAAGTGAGGTCTTACCAGTGTTCTGTACAATGGCATGAGCACTTCTCTCTTTCTACTGCTAATACCTCTCCCTATACAACCAAGCATTTTGCTAGCATTTCCTGCTGCTCTATTACATTGTTTTCCTACCTTTAAGTCATCTGAAATAATTACTCCTAGATCCCTTTCCTCAGATGTTGAGGTTAGTAGGGTATCAAATATCCTATACTCTGCCCTTGGGTTTTTACGTCCAATGTGCATTATCTTGCACTTATCCACATTAAATGTCAGTTGCCACAGCTCTAACCATTTTTCTAATTTTTCTAAACCACTTGCCATTTGGCTTATCTCTCCTGGAACATCAACCCTGTTGCAAATTTTAGTATCATCAGCAAAAAGTCATACCTTACATTAAGCCCTTCTGCAATATCACTAATAAATATATTAAAGAGAATGGGTCCAAGTACAGATCCCTGAGGTACCCCACTGGTAACAAGACCTTGCTTCGAATGTACTCCCTTGACTACAACCAACTGTTGCCTGTCATTTAGCCACTTCCTAATCCATTCAACAATATTGGAATCCAAACTTAAATATTGCAGTTTATTGATTAGCCTTCTATGTGGAACAGTGTCAAAAGCCTTACTGAAATCTAGGTAAGCAATGTCTACTGCACCACCCTGATCTATTATTTTAGTTACCCAATCAAAAAAAATAATTAGATTAGTTTGGCATGATCTCCCTGAAGTAAACCCATGGTGTCTCTGATCTTGAAATCCATGTGATTTTAGATGTTCAACAATCCTATCCTTTAACATGGTTTCCATCACTTTTCCAACTACTGTAGTAAGGCTTACTGGCCTATAGTTGCTCGACTCCTCCCTACTACCTTTCTTGTGAATGGGTACAACATTCGCTAATTTCCAATCTTCTGGGACTACTCCTGTTAACAATAATTGGTTAAATAAATCCATTAATGGTTTTGCTAGTACACCACTAAGTTATTTTAATAACTTTGGACGCATCGCATCAGGCCCAATCGCCTTATTTGTCTTTACTTTTGACAGTTGAAATAGAACCTCTTCCTCTGTAAACTCACATGTAACAAATTACTCATTTACAATATTTTGAGAGGAGGGATTTAACTATAAATAAGACAATTACATAAAAATTTACAGGAACGATAGGTTGAAGAAGACCCTGCTAAAATGAGCTTACGGTCTATATGAGGTGGGGTATAAAACACATTAGGACAGGAAATAGCAATCAAATAAGGTGGGAGTGAAGCAAAGAGAGAGCAAGAGACAGGTATGTGAGGTAGAGGTTACTCTGGAAGCCCATAAACTTTGCTAAAGAGATGGGTTTTAAGGCTTAAACGATTGAAGACTAGGGGAGAGTCTGATGGCGGTAGGCAGGCTATTCCATAGGAAGGGAGCCTCCCGCAAGAAATCCTGCAGGCGTGACTTGGCCAAATGGGTGCGAGCAGCAGAAAGGAGTAGGTCAATGGCAGAGCTGAGAGACCGAGAAGGGGCATACCTATGGATCTGTGAAGAGATATAAGATAGAATTGTTCAGTGTTTTATAGGTATGGGTTAGCACTTTGAATTGACTCTTATAGGATACAGGAAGCCAAGGTAAGGACTGACAGAGGGGTGAGGTGTGAGAGGACAGACTAGAGAGGAAAATCAGTCTGATGGCAGCATTCATTACAGACTGTAGCGGGGAAATATGGCTTTTGGGAAGACCAATTAGGAGAGGGTTACAATAATCCATGCGGGAAATTACTAGAGCATGGACAAGCTCCTTGGTAGCATCTTGCGTAAGAAAGGGGCGGATGTGGGCTATATTTTTAAGATGGACTCTAGAGGATTTGGCAACATACTGGATGTGAGGCTCAAAGGTGAGACCAGAATCAAGTATGATGCCAAGACAGTGTGCTTGCAAGGATGGACTTATGTGGATACCACATAAGGGGGAGTGAAAGAGGAGGATCAGTATTAAGAGGAGGAAAGACAAGGAGCTCAGTTTTAGAGAGATTGAGTTTCAGAAAGCGGGTCTGAGATGGAAAAAAGGCAATCAGTCACATTCTGCTAGAACATCAGAGGAGAGGTCCGGGGAGGTAGTGGAATCCAAATGAGGTAATACGTTTGCCAAGAGAGGCAATATGAAGAGAAAATAGAAGGGGACCAAGGACAGAGCCTTGGGGGACTCCATCCGACACAGGATGAAGGGAGGAGGTATCATTACAAAAGGAGACACTGAATGAGCATTGGGAGAGATAAGAGGAAAACCATGAGAGGACAGAGTCACTGAGACTGAGTGATTTAAGAATTTGAAGAAGGAGAGCATAATCAACGGTGTCAAAGGCAGCAGAGAGGTAAAGAAGAATTAATATGGAGTGGCCTTTGGATTTAGCTGCGATTAGGTCGTTAGTAACTTTGATAAGAGCAGTCTCAGTAGAGTGGAGAGGACAGAAGCCAGATTGAAGAGTTTCAAGGAGAGAGTTGGAATTGGAGGGATAAGGGACGATAGTTAGAGGGGTCAGCAGGGACAACACCAGAAGAGAGAGAGAGCAGTTGAAGATGTGTGTTAAGGAAGGCACAAGACATGGGGAGAGAGATCTGATAAGGTGAGATGGGACAGGATCGAGCGGGAAAGTGGTAGGGTGAGAGGAAAGGAGAAGCGCAGCCACCTCTTGTTCAGTAGCCGGGAAGAAAGTCTGAAGGGTAGGAAAGGCATGATCAACGTGTGGTTGAGAAAGAGAATGGCAAGGTGGGGAGAATCCTTTCCTTAGCTGTTCAATCTTGTTGGTGAAGTAGCATGCAAAGCTATTGGCTGTAAGGTTAGTTTGGGGTGGCCACAGCAGGGTGAAAAAGAGACGCCTTGGATTGCGGGAGCATGAACTAATGAGAGGTGAAAAGTATGACTGTTTGGCGAGGACAAGGGCTGCACTGTATGAACACAATATTAATATATAACGGAGATAGTTTGCCTGAGTGCAAGACTTCCTCCAGTAGCAATAAGCACAACGGGAGCATCTTTGCAGGTAGCGTGTTAATTTAGTATGCCACAGTTGGGAGCGTGCCCTCCTCAAGGTGCATGTTTGGAGCGGGGCTGCAGCATTCAAGGCAGAGGTGAGGGTAGTGTTATATGTGGAGATGGCCAGTGATGGACAGGAGAGGGAAGGGATGGATAGCAGTTGAGAATCAATATCACCTGACACCTGCTGGAGGTCAATAGAATTAAGGTTCCTCCTGACTTGAGGAGGAGTTAGGCTGAGATTGTTGGGTGAGGGGGTACTTGAGAGCAAACGATAAGAGGTTGTGATCAGAGAGAGGAAATGGAGTGTTGCAGATATTAGATACTGTACATGCATAAGAGAAAATGAGGTCAAGGGTATTTCCATTAAATAAAGAGTTGGTGACCCAGGTTAAGAAAATAATAAAAGCATATACATCTACTGGGTGGATCAAATTCCTTTGCACAGGTAGCACAGCAGTTTATGTCCTGACAAAATAACTCAAACTGTAAAAGAAAAATGTCCTCATATGAATACAATATTTTACTAATAGATAAAAAAAAAACATACACAATAAACAGTAAATATGGAACGTGCAAAAATTGTGGCATCCTTTCATTTTGATTTCTTTGTGAGTGGAACAGTTCGATACTATATCTTATCTCTTGTGATCTACAATCTACAAGATGTATAGTCACATGTTTAAGAAGAAAACATTCACAATCTACTAAATAATTAACTAAAATTTGAATTAGGTTGGCAATATCTTTGGGATCATAGCTCACAATTTCAAATGGAAAGCTGTAGAAAGGGTGGAGTAAGAATCCAATAAAAAATGGAACATATAGACATTCCCCTCACCCCCCAAAAAACAAATGCTCGGTATTAGGCTTTCCTGTCCACTTACTTCATTTCATAATGCCTTATATTATTTATTAAAAATACAGATATTACATATAACAAAAATACTTCTTCCAGGGGTTTTAAAAATCTTGAGTATCCCGGCTCTCAGATTTCTGTAAGCACAATATTGTGTCTGGACACAGAGTTGCAATTGAATGCTCAGCAGGAACCTGTTTAATAAAAGATGTAAACTTCATCAAATATGTCAAAACAATATTAAATATTGGGACTGGTCTAGGAGAAGTTGACATGAAGACTTGTCGAATTATTGGCATTCATGTTGAAGCATGTTAAGTGCTTTTAAACCTTGCAGATAATGCAAAGTACATCCCCACAGGAGGAAATCTTAATGTGCCTCTTAAGTGGAATGTCTAG